GTCCAGCTTTCACATGCGTATGAGGCAATTGAAAATACTATGGCTTGGGTCAGGCACACCTTAGTCATTAATGTGACATAATTGCTTTTTAATGCTTTAAAGAGGTCTTTTGCAGCAGGAGTGGGGTGGCACTGGACCATGCTATCAGCATTTATTCCCCTCCCCCTCCCCCCGACAAAGGGCAATAACTGCCCCTGTGGCTCAGGCCTGGTGTGCCCAGGGCTGTGCTTTGTATGAGATAAACAGAAGACGCCATGGAAGGGAGAGAGGGAGGGAGGCAGAGGAGGTTTCCCAGAGAGCACGCTGCTCCAGCTGAACTGGGGAAAGCATTCCAGGCTGTGGGGGCTGCTGTTCAAGGGTGTGGAGCATGACAAACTTCACATGTTCAAGGTGATTCCTCTAAGTTAGTGATTCTTGAGATATGGCTTGGAGTTCACCTGTGTGAGAATCAACAGGGAGATTCCCAGGCCCCGTTACCTACCTTCTACATCAGAATCTAAGAATCTCTCGTGGTGAAAACAGTTAACATGTTCAGCTAACTGCTAAATGAAAGTTTGGCAGTTCAAGTCCACCCAAAGGCACCTCGAAAGAAAAGCCTAGCAACCTACTTCTGAAAATCAGCCATTGAAAACCCTATGGAGCATAGTTCTACCCTGACATACATGGGGCCACCATGAGTTGAAGTTGACTGGAGAGCAACTGGTGGTGGTGGTAACATCAGAATCTAATGGGGTGGGGAGAAGGAGGGGGAGTAGGGGGAGAGTTCGGGAGTCTGCATATTAACAAGCTCCTGGATGATTCCACATAAGCTGCAGTTTGAGAGCCACCAGGGTGGGACATAGAGGGCCCTAGGAGCCTGTTAGTAAATGGGCCCTTGTCCCTTGGTGATATTAAGCTGAGCTGGGACTTAACCCTGGGACCTGTGTGTCCAAAAGCAATGTCACTTGTCTTCTTACTTACGCTTTGGGGAAGCACAGAATGACACGCTCTCAGAGTATGGGAATCACCAATATCCCTTTGCCACATCTCAGCTGTGTGACTTTGGGCAAGTTACTTCTCTGAGCCTCAATTTTCTCATCTATGAAGTGGAGCCAATGATACCTCCTTTCAGGGTTGGATGAGAATTAAAAGAGAATGTCAGCCAAGGGCTTGGCTTGGTTGCTGGCACGGATTAAGCCCTCCAAAGATGGTGGCCATTCTTATAGACGAGGACTCTGGAGACCGCAGAGGAGCAAAGACTGGTCCAAGGTCACACAGCCATGTAAAGGCAAAGCCAGGACTCCAACCCAGGCCCTGCTCCTCATTTGCTCCCTCTAGTCCCGGCCTGCCTGTGTCCCCAGGCCACAGTCCAGGCAGGAGGCATCTCCTTCCCAGCAATAGTTCTGTTTGGGGCTTGGCCGAGCACACAAACTTATTTCCTAATGTGGCTGAGGGGAAATCGCACTTGGGGTCAGAGGCCCTCAGACATTTGCCAACTGTGGCATTGCTCTTCTTCCTGTGATCCTACCTCAGGCTGGAGGAGGCAGAACCTACAGGAGGAAACACATTTGAAGCACTTCAATTTCCCAATTTCCAGGGGAATGGGAGAAGTGAGAGTGACACCCTCACTCTCCACCACCCCCTAGGAGAGCCACTTATCTTTATCTTTCCCTTTCCCTCATCCTGCAGCCTTTCTCAGAAACTGCTCTTTGAAAGCAACCCTCCCTGTCTCAGCCCGAACCAGGACTTGGCTCAAGTCTTGCCTCCTCCTGGAAGCCTACTGGGATTGTCAGGCTGAGCTTGTCCTTCTCAGTCTCTAAACACTCTTCTTTCATTTATTCACTATTGAATATGTCTTGTGTCCTACTCTGGGACTGCAGTAACAATAATAATAATAATGCAGTGAGAAAAATCTGCTCCGCCCTGCTCCTCTTGGAAGCTGGTATCCTCTAGGGGCTGAGTACTCAAAGGGGCCTTTTTATGACAAGACTCAAGGCTGGCAAGGAAGACACGCTTTTAGCATAACAAAGTAAGAGAGACTGTACCAAGAGGTTTTCTTCATGGTTTGAAATGTCACATTGTCTTTTAGATGCTACATGTTGAGGCCAGAGCTCTATGAAGGCCTATTCCTCTCCTCCCCACCCTCAGAATGTACCTGGAGCCCCCTCCTACACCTGCATCCCTAATCCAGGGGTACAGAATGACTGACAACCCACACTGGAGGCCGTACACGTGGAAGAGGTGGCCCTGAAGTAGGTGAAGGGGGTAGAGGCTTCAGAATCAAGAGCCCAAGGAGGAGGGTCTTACAGGGTCTCGCTGACCATAGGGATGGCCTCATGGAGACAGCTGGCATCTGGGTCTAACAAAGGACCCGTGCTTGAGGATGGAGTTTGGGGACAAACGAGGAAACTCAGGCTCAGCAAGTTTAAGCTACGAGCTCAGAGTTCACGGGCTGGCCCTCACAGTGCTGAGAGGCAGAATGAGAGGATGGACATGGCCGATTGCGGCGAAGCATGAGCCATCAGGGAGAAGCCGGCGGCTGGTTCAGAAACTTGTTAGCTGTTTCAAGGCTCTGATTTTATGGCAAGGTAAGTCATCATCATGTGGGTCTCATCTCGGTGCCCCTTCCCTGCCAGCCACCCTCACAGATGCGCCGTCCGGCTAGGCCTGGGGGACTCAGGAACTTTGGGCAATTAGAGCTGGAGGTGCTCAAAAATGTGCAAGATAAGTTTTCAAAAACTAATTTTATGACGCGTCATCGTTCTGTGTGTTGGGGCTGCTACTTAGAGCCACCTTCCTTGTACAGATACAAACATCCGACTGGGGGCTCTGGTCATTTGAAGGAAGGTAGAACTGGAGTGAGGACGGAAGTGACGAGCCCCCCTGGAACTGCCCCAGGCAGGAAGAAGAAGTCTTCTTGCCATACACAAGGCCATGTGACCTTGACGGTAACTTAATAGCTCCCTGCCTCGGTTTCCTCATATCAGTCCTCCTTCCCGCGTTGTTTTTGGGCTTGGAGATAATATATGCACAGCATCTGGCACTTAGCAGGTGCTCTGTACATAGTTCCTGTTCTCATTCTTAAACAAACCAGAAGGATTCCAGTTGTTGGAGTGTTGCGGATGGGCTAGGAAGGAGACTTTTTTAGAAACAGACTAGAAGGAAGAAAGAAAAAATAAATAAAAAAACAGCTCAGGAGGTCTCACACCATCCCGGCTGGGCGGGTTTCATTAGATTTTCAGAAAATCAGAGCCGGTGAGGCAGGGCGCCAGGGGGCTGAGGAGGACCCAGCAGGAGAGAAGCTGGCCACCCCCTCCGCCGCCCCGCCCGTCCCCTCATCACCCGGCAGACCTTGCTGGCTGCCCTGCGGGGTTCCCGCCGCTTAGGAAACCTTATGGGGCAGTTCTGCTCTGTCCTATGCGATCGATCGCTGTGAGTCGGAATCATCTCGGACAGCAGCATGTTCTTCTGGGGGGTGGGGGTGGAGGCTGGCTGAGGCTGCTGCGCAGGGGCCGAGCAGAGACCCGTCTGGAAAGCTGCGGTAGGAGTGGGAAGTGTCCACGTGTCCCCACCCCTCCAAGGCGCTGAAGAACCCAGCCCGGTGTGGGATGCGTCGTGGCGTTTGAATCCCAGCCTGGCTAGCAGCTTGCTGGGTGGCTGTTAGCAGAGCATTTCCCCTCCCGGAACCTCGGGTTTCGCATCTGGCAAAGGAAGGAGGCAAAATGTATAGAAACAAACCCGTGGTGAAGACATGTGGGTTGAGGTAGCAATGGAATACGATGTGTGTATAAGGGTATTTAAAGCTAGGGGAGAAGGGTCACCACATATTGTTTGTTGAAAAAGGGCATGTCACAAAACTGACCAGAGTCATGGAATCTTTGTTCAAAAAAAAATTTTTTTTTCAAGCTCTACCTCTGTTAAAAAGAAGCGGTGGGGAGAAATAATCTAAAATACAATTTTACTTGTCTGGAGGGGCATTACATGTAATTTGTATTCTCTTCTTGGTGCTTGCTCAAATTTTCCCCAATGAACATTAAAAAAAAACAAACGCTTTTGCTGTCAAGTCAATTCCGAGTCATAGCGACTCTATGGGACAGATCAGAACTGCCCCATAGGGTTTCCAAGGAGCACCTGGTGGATTTCAACTACTGACCTTTTGGTTAACAGCCGAGCTCTTAACTATGGCGCCACTAGGGCTCCTTCAAGAAATCAGAAGTAGTGTGGAAATAGACAACACCCAAATGAAAACAAAGGTTATTTACTCAGAGCTTGCTAAAGCAAGGGAGGCAGCCCCTATCACTTATGTTTGTCAGAGACTGGAAGGCAAGCAGGGGACCGGGAAAGCTTTATAGCAAAAAAACGGGATGGAGAGCGGGGAGAAGGCTTTAGGTGTGCTCCATGGGAGGCTGTTGGCGTGGGGAAGCTGGAGGCGGCTTAACTAGAAGCGGGGTTCTGGTTAGCTCTGTATAATGGTTTGAGGGGCACACTTGGCTTTCTTTGGTTTGTCCTAAATTGGAAGCAGGGGTAAAAATTAAAGAAGCTGTTAATTATTAATCAAGCCCTGGCTATTTGGAGCTCCGTATTCCAGGGGTTGTCATCTGGCTTCCAGGACTTGTAGCTGCAGGTAGTGGTTTGACTGCCTGGGCTGGTTGCTATTTTCATATATGGGCTGGTCATTGTCCTTTCGTATATTCAGTCTCTCAGTAGAAAGAATGCTGTAATGAACCCTGATATGCCCACCACGAAGTTCAATGAAGTCCTGAGATGCGGGGATTTGAGTGGGGTTCAGAGGGGAGGGTGCTTAGGGAAGGGAAGGAGCCCAAGGGTCCCAACCTACACACACAGAGATGCATGCATACACTGCTGCCTCTGGGGCTGCGGCCCCAACCATAATGGGGAACCACAGCCCCAAATCCCCGCCCCGGCTCCTTCCTTTTTTCTATATTTGGCTGCATTGTGGTTCCCTAGCCAGTTCCTTTATAGGTCGTGGTTCCCCTCTGAGGCCCCAGGGCTTTGACATCTCTGGAGAACGAGGACATGGCCAGATGGGCAGCCCTGGTGGTGCTGGTTGTGGTGGGTACAGCCGTGGCAGTGGCCACCAACCCCGGCTTCGTGGCCAGGATCACCCAGAAGGGTCTTGACTACGGTAATTGGATGCCTTCCTTCCCTCCCCTCTCACCCCTGAGATGCACTTATTGAGCATCTACTGTGTGCCAGCCCTTTAAATCCAGTGCCTGGTGTGCTCACAGGTAGGCTCTTTTACCCCCATTTTACATATGAAGAAACTGAGGCAAGGTCACGCTGCTGGGAAGTAGCAGAGCTGGGATTGGAGCACTGGAGGACGCCAAGTCCAGTGCTCAGGGCCTTGAGGGTCCTTGTGGTTTCCTCTCTCCTTTCCTCTACCCAACCTCAGATTTGGACTCCTAGAGCCTTCTCCTCCTTTTAAAGCTAGTTTGTAGTCCTGTCACTTGCCTCTAGATCCCTGCCTCACTCTCAGCATGAACAGAGCTCAGAACCCATGACGAGGCTGGACAGGTGGGACGAGAGTCTGGAGGAACTTTCTTAGTGGTCTCCCCCAGTGAAGAGGCCAGGCAGCCATGCTGTGCCCATTACTTAGCGGGTGACCCAGAGAGGGTCCCCAGGCCACTCATCCAGGCCCAGATAGAGGAGAGAGTGGCACGAAACAGCTCCCGCTGCCATGCGCTGACCTGAGCACTCTCATTTTGTCCTCACTACAGCCCCGGGAGGGACTTGTCAGGGAGCTGAGCTGAGCTAAGGGTGCTGAGCTCAGCTGCCAGATGTCCCAGTAGTCAATTAAGACAATAGCCAAAGTGAAAGTAATGGTCAGGCCTTTAATGGCTTGCTGCAAGAGGTGAACCCAGAGAAGGCACCAGCTCCCCTCTGTTCTGAATTTTCTCAGGAACAGTGCCTGGGAACCAACCCATTGAGGGACAGGTGGATCAGAGCAGACGTGGGACCTGTCTTACTGCTGAGGGAGCCCTGAATAAAAGGTTCCTGCAGTTTTACGGACCCCAGAGCAAGGGGGACGGTGGGGGAGAAGGGCTGGGAGTGGAAAAGTGCTGAATACTGAGTCAGAGTAGGGAGAAGTATCTTCAAGGCCTCCCCTTCCCTCCTGCTAAGGAGGCTTTAGCAGAGGCACCTGAGGAAGGCTTCTACTGAAGGCCCTGATAAAGAGGGGGAGCTTTCATCTAGTAGGAGATAGAGACGTTAGTGAAAGAATCATACGAGTAAATGTATAATTCCAAATATAACAGGTATCCTAAAGGAGAAGTCCACAGTGTCATGAGAATGATAACCAGGAGGCTTACTCTAGTCTACTGGGTCAGGAATGTTCCCTGAGGAAGTGACGACTGCGCTGACTAGAAGCTGACCAGAGGAAGATAAGAGGGAAGGTTTCCTAGGCAGAAGGAACAGCATGTGCAAAGGTCCTGTGGAGAGAGGACCAAAAGCTAGGGGGGGTGGGGGATCCGTGAGGGCATAGCACAGCGCCAAGCATGGAATCGGTGTTCAACAAATCTTGCAGGATGCCTGACGAGATGTTTGGGGTGTGATATTTTAAACCAGAGGTTGGCAAACTACAGCCTTTGGGCCAAATCTGGCCCACCACATATTTTTGTATGACTTATGAGCTAGGAATGGGTTTTTCCATTTTTAAATGGTTGAAAAAAAATCAAGAGAAAAATGGTATTTCACAACACATGAAATTCAAATTTCAGCATCCATAAATAAAGTTTTATTGGAACACAGCTAAGTTCATTTATTTATGTATTGTCTATGACTGCTTCTGTGCAGTAACAGCAGAGTTGAGTAGTTGCAGCAGAGTCAGTATAACCTATGAAGCTGAAAATATCTACTGTTTAGCTCTTTACAGAAAACTTAAGATGACCCCTGTTTTAGACCCCTCCAATCCCATCTCAAGGGAACCCTGGTGGCATAGTGGTTAAGTGCTATGGCTGCTAACCAAAAGGTCAGTAGTTTGAATCCACCAGATACTCCTTGGAAACTCTATGGGGCATTCTACTCTGTCCCATATGGTTGCTATGAGTTGGAGTCAACTCAACAGCAATAAGTTTTAATACCATCTCAAAGGCAGGGTCCTGGGTGCCTCTGCTATGTACAAGGGCCAAGGGCCCAGAGCCTGTCCTGACCTGATGTTCCAGGATCACTACTGTGCTCTAACTGTCACCCTTCTGCTTTCTCCCCTCAGCCAGCCAGGAGGGAGTGGCCAAGCTGCGGAAGGAGTTAGAGAAAATCAAGATCCCCGATATATCAGGAAGATTTAAGATCAAACATTTTGGAAAAGTGCGTTATAGCTTCTACAGGTGAGGTCTGTCAGTGTTCAGTTCTCAATATGAAGGACTTGCAGGGTTCTGGCACAGTGGTTAAGAGCTTGGCTGCTAACCAAAAGGTGAGCAGTTTGAATCCATCAGCCACTCCTTGGAAACCCTATGGGGCAGTTCTATTCTGTCCTACAGGGTCGTTATGAGTCAGAATTGACTTGACAGCAACAGACAACAGGGGCAATCGAGGAGTCTTTGGGTGGTGCCAACAGTTAACACCCTCAATAGCTAACTGAAAGGTTGGTGATTCCTGGGGCTGTGAGTCTTTGCAGAGACAGGCTGCTGCTTCTTTCTCCAATACAGCAGCTGTTGGTGCAGGCTCTGACCTTTTGGTTGGCAGCCGGGCACTTGGCTGCTGCACCACCATGGCGCCCAATCAGAAAAAGTTCCCAAAAATCAGAACATGAAATTTAAAAAAAGATAACAAAATGGCCCAAGTTCAACAAAAAAATAGTAAGACACACCACAGCAGAAGAGAAGAAGGCATAATAAAAAGCAAAACATGAAGAAGAGGAAATTTCTCCTATGAAATGCAAAACATTGGTGTGAGACATATGTTGCTAATTATGTTTACAGAAAGCAAAAAGTGCACAGAAAGCATGAAATAAACAGGGGAACAAAATGAGAGACTCAACAAGGAAATTGAAAACACACACACACATATTAAAAAAAAAAAAGAAAGAACTATTGAAACTGAAGAATAAAACAACTGAATTAGAAAAAGCAAGAGAAACACTCAACAATAAAGTCGAAAAGACAGAAGATAAAATAAATGAACTAGGAGACAAAATAACTGAGCTATGCAGTCAAATGTTCTACCCCTGGAAGACAAAATAACTGAACCTGTCAAGTCTCAAGGGAAACAGAGAGAAGAACAAAGAAAAGCAAACAAACACAAAAGAAAATACGGGATTCTATTAATAAATCTAACATTAGCATTATTGGAATCCCAGAGCATCATGACAACGATAAAAGCATAGAAACAATTTTCCAAGAGATAATCAGAGAGAATTTCCCAGACCTGAACAGAGAACCAACCCTACAAATACAGGAAGCTAGACCAGACCCAATCAGAAAGACACAAAAAGATAAACCCCACACCATATCCTAATAAAATTCTTTTTTTTTTCCTTTAAAAATATTTTATTATCTATAAAATATGATGGGATAATACTGACACATGAGTAACTACATAAACTTACAAATTGTAAAAGAATAACATTTTGTGCCAATTTTATATAACAAATAATTCTTTATTAATACAATATATTAATTAATCATACGTTTGTATGACTTGCTTTTGTACAAATTATTTTATTAAGTCATCAACATTTATACTTTTAGTAATTTAATTTTCAGTTTATATAAATGAAAGTGATATCAGTCACTCTTGACAAGTCAAGGTAACAAAGATGCAAATTTTTCATTTTCAGAAAGATTGTTCTGCAGATGCAGCAGTTAATGGAGCTGCTAAGAGCGTTTTATAGGTTGTGACAATTCTGGTACATTATTTCAAAATATAAATTTTAGTGCATCTAGAGATGATAATCATTTTTTATAATCTTAAGGAATAATTTTTCTAAAAAGATTTAACTCTTCATAGAAATTGGTTTGTGTAAATCTGAATTCAATTTTATTTATTTATTTTTATTGTGCTTTAGATGAAGGTTTACAGAGCAAATTAGTTTCTCATTAAACAATTAATACACATATTATTTTGTAACATTGGTTGCCAACCCCACGACCTGTCAACACTCCCCACTTCTCGATCTTGGGTTCACAATTAGCAGCTTTCCTGTCCTCCCGTCTTCTCATCCTTGACCCTGGGTTGGTGTGCCCATTTAGTCTCATTTTGTATTATGAGCCTGTCTAATCTTTGGCTGAAGGGTGAACTTCAGGAGTGACTTCAGTACTGAGCTATAAGAGTGTCCGGGGCCATCCTCTTGAGGTTTCTCCAGTCTCTGTCAGACCAGTAAGTCTGGTCTGTTTTTGTGAGTTAGAACTTTGTTCTACATTTTTCTCTAACTCTGTTCAGGACTGTCTGTCAGAGCAGTGGATGATGGTAGCCAGGCAGCATCTAGTTGTACTGGACTCAGTGTGGTAGAGGCTGTGGTAGTTGTGGTCCATTAGTCCTTTGGACTAATCTTTCCCTTGTGTCTTTGGTTTTCTTCATTCTCCCTTGCTCCAGACGAGGTGGGACCAGTGGAGTATCTTAGATGGCCACTCACAGACTTTTAAGACCCAGACACTACTCACCAAAGTAGGAGGTAGAGCATTTTCTTTATAAACTATGGTGAAGACCATGGTCCCTACAGCCCTCAACCCAGTAATCGGTCCCTCAGGGAGTTTGGATGTGTCTATGAAGCGTCTATGACTTTGCCTTGGTCAAGCTGTGCTGACTTCCCCAGTATTGTGTACTGTCTTACTCTTCACTAAAGTTACCACTTATCTATTGTCTAGTTAGTGTTTTTACCTCCCTACCCCTCCCCTCCCTCGTAACCATCAAAGATTGTTTCTTTCTGTGTGTAAACCTTTTCATGAGTTTTTATAATAGTGGTCTCATACCATATTTGTCCTTTTGTGATTGACTTCTTTCACTCAGCATAATGCCCTCCAGACTCATCCGTGTTGTGAGATGTTTCACAAATTCATTATTGTTCTTTACTGTTGTGTAGTATTCCGTTGTGTATATGTACCATGGTTTGTTTATCCATTCATCTGTTGATAGGCACTTAGATTGTTTCCATCTTTTTGCTATTGTGAATAATGCTGCAATAAACATGGGTGTGCATATGTCTATTCGTGTGATGGCTCTTATTTCTCTAGGATATATTCCTAGGAGTGGAATTGCTGAATCGTATCGTATTTCTATCTCTAGCTTTTTAAGGAGGCACCATATCGTTTTCAAAAATGGTTGTACCATTTTTACATCCCCACCAGCAGTGCATAAGAGTCCCAATCTCCCCGCAGCATCCTCAACATTTGTTATTTTCTGTTTTTTTAATTCATGCCAGTAATGTCAGGGTAATAAGATAGTAACTCACTATACTTTTGATTTGTGTTTCTCTAATGGCTACTTATCACGAGCATTTCCTCAGGTGTCTGTTAGTTGTTTGAATGTCTTTTTTGGTGAAGTGTCTGTTCATATCCTTTGCCCATTTTTTAATTGGGTTATTTGTCTTTTTGTTGTGGGGGTGTTGGATTTACCTATAAATTTTGGAGATTAATTTTTGTTAGATTTGTCTTAGCCAGAATTTTTTTCCCCAGTCTGTAGGTTCTCTTTTTACTCCTTTGGTGAAGTCTTTTGATGAGCGTGAATGTTTAATTTTTAGAAGATCCCAGTTATCTGCTTATCTCCTGGTGTTTGTGCACTGTTAGTTATGGTTTGTATGCTCTTTATGCCGTGTATTAGGGCCTCTAGTGTTGACCCTGTTTTTTCTTCTATGATCTTTATAGTTTTTGGTTTCATATTTAGGTCTTTGATCAGTTTTGAAGTAGGTATGGTGTGAGATATGAGTCCTGTTTCATTTTTTTACAGATGGACATCCAGTTTTGCCAGCACCATTTGTTAAAAAGACTGTCTTTTCCCCATTTGATGGACTTTGGGCCTTTGT